TACAGTTCTGACGGCCAATCTAATTTGTTTAGCTAGAAGCATTTGCCGAAAAAACCGGTGCCGGTAGCGACAAAAACTTCGGGAAACTATGCAAAAAACGCATCTTCGCACGGGCAGCCCGTGCGTTGGCCAATTATTTTTCCTGCCAAAATGTCCCACACATTGCTCAGTTGTTTGGTATTTTTTTGTATTCGTTGGTCCCTGCCGCGGGTGTTCGTCGGCCGACATCAGTGAGGTGATTTCGTTTGTAGCCTCGTCAGCACCGTATGTATTCTTCTGAGCTACTTCATTAATAAAGTTCCTAGTACTCTTAGTATCGATAACAAGTCATTCCTCCTCTGGGGATTCAACAGATATCGTTGGCCAAAAATCATATCACTTACCGCATCAAGCAGTTCGTCCGATTCCAGCACATAATTTTCATATCGAAACCACACGTTGTCAGGAAATTTCGTAGAGAAAGACACGGACGGAGCCGAAATTGGACCATAGCGGCGGACAAATGATGCAGGGAAACCGCCAATAATCTAAACATACACTTCTGCACACTGAATAAACAACGGCATGCACTAGGGCAGCTGGTGCTGTCATGGGTTTTGTGCAATTCCGTTCAGCGCCCGCTCACATTTAAAACTGATTACTGCTTTGCTGCCTGGTATGTGCAGAAATCGCCGAAATGCTCTGTCCGGCCAAACTTACATTTTTGCGTACATGAGATCTAGGCGTATTGGAAGTAGAGTCTAAAATGGCCAGGAAACTTCTTCGCATATGGCGAGGAAAAATCCTGAAGTTTTGCTTTCTGCCTTTTTTGGCTTCGAAATTGGGAGACTTCCTGCTAGAGTGCATGCATTCGTACGTGAAACGTAGGCGCATGTAGAAGCTGAATCTGAAATTTTTTGCGTTGCATATGGGCACATTACATTCCCTTCAATTCTCATTTTCTAGTTTTCCTACCCTAATTAGTAGTTCCCCCTTCAAAATTTCGCGTGCCCTCACGCGGGAACTGGACACAATTGGAGGCTGAATTTATAGCCGAGAGCTCGTGAGTGGGTGGTGACTATTCTCCCAAAATTTCAACTTCCTAGCTTTTCCGATTCTGGAGTTATTGTTTTTGCGTTATAATTTTCACGTTCTCGTACGTGAGAATTAGGCGCCAATGGAGAGCTGAATTTAAGTGTTCTGGATCGCAAACAGTTAAGAAACACTCTTTCAAAATTTCAGCTTTCTAGCTTTTCTAGTTCACGAATTAGTTCTTCTGAAGTCAAAACACACAAGAAGCCTAGGCGGATGTGGACACAGAAAATTCTCCTGCAATTTCTGTTCCCTGGCTTTTCTGATTCATGAGTTAGTGAATTTCCCACCAAAACTTTCGCACTACGTGAGAACTAGTCAGACGTAGAACTTGAATTAGGCGGATCCAGGCCGGCCTCCTGGGAGGGAGGGATTTCTGCTTCCTTTCCCCCTTCGTCACTTCACTCCGCTCCTCGGTCAGCTCGTTACCCACCGCTCAATCGTCCCGTTACCCCTCCCGCTTCCCCCCCCGCGCCTCCCTCGCTAATCGACCCTAAACTACGGTAACGACCAAAGGTGGGCGAGAAAAGGGGGAGAGCAACAGGTGGTATCGAACGGGGTTTTGTACAGGCGATATCGAACAGCTGCTGCCTGAGCTCCTGAGAGCTCCCCTCGCTCTCCCCTGAATTCGCCAGTGAACCTGAGTTTAAAATTTCTGGACTATGTTCTGCTAAAATTTCAACTCCCCAATTTTTTTGGTTACCGAATTGAAAAACTCGGATAAAACGCATTTGGGACGCACAAGCATAGACACACACACAAGGCTTCAGTAGCATGCGTTTTTTGCAACCATTGCAACACAAAATGCATAAAAGGGAATGCGTTTTTTGATTCGGAGAAGGAATTAACTTTGTGTTCAGTGTACTTGTAAACCAACAGATATGCAATTAGTTTAAACACTTACGCGGCAATATGTATAAATACGAATGTAAGGTTTAAAGAAAAGAAATGAGAATTCAGAAATAGCAGTTTAATTGAATAAAACGAACTGAGAAAATAAAGTAAGTGGTTGTAGCAATAAGGCTAACAAAAGAGGGCTGAGATCTGAATAGCCTATCTCTCATCGATTGAGTGTTCACTGTTTTAGGATATGCGCAATTTTAATTGCGTGAAAAATATCTCCCCCAACGTTGGGGCATGGAGTGGTGATCAAGCAAAACGAAAGCAACTTACAGGTATATCCTTGTCACAGTAATGACGGATATTCTTTCGAGCAACGCCAACCAGATGTGCGTCAATGTCAATGCCAACGATGTGCACTGGCTGGTACTTCTTCGCAATTGACAGCGTCAGATAGCCAACGTTGCATCCCACATCCAGAACTGTTTTCTTCTCAAACCACTCCTTCTTCAGAACATTTATTCGAGGATCGCATTCGGCACCCCTCTCCAGACGACTTCCATAGTAGCGATCGTAATTGCCATATCGGAATCTTCAATTAGCACTGTTGATGCGAAGGCATTCTTCAGAAGTCAAAGCCTCCAGTTCTGAGTTTATTCTCTATGAGAAGAGCAAAATTACCCACTGACAAGACTGCTGATAGTTACTCGCCGTCCAAGGGATGCTTAGATGCAAGCTAATGACCATTCTTTGAACTCTCTGGCATGCTCAATGCCAATTTAACATCAAAAATTAAACTAATCGCAGAGGGACTGGGTGCAAAATTGGCAAACGGGGTTCACGACTTGAAGCATCTTAGCAACGCAATTCCCACATCGCTGTTGTGCAATGTAAATGCAGTA